AGATAAAAGTAGAAGAATAAGACAATAAAAATTAAGAACGAAACCAGAGGATTATCACAATGTAACAAAATTAAAAATTAAATCTATAAGAAGTATAGAAAATTCTGGTTCTCTAAAATAAAGATACATTTTTGATAGTTGGAAATTTAATATAAAAGCGAAAAATAAAAGAACAATAAAAGCAAACAATAAAAGTTAAGAACGAAATCAAAGGATTATCATAATGTAGTCAAATTGAAAATTAGATTTATGAAGTCAAGAAGGAAAAAAAACTCTTGTCAGAGTTAAGATAAAGATATACTTTTAGTAATTCGAAATTTAGCAACAGCGAAAAATAAAAAAACAACTCGAAAAACTACTAATGAAACTAGAAGATTTAGATAGTCAAATTAAAAACAAGATTTATAGTCATAAAAAATAGTTTTGAAAGCTGAGAGCTAAAATAAAGATACAATTTTGCTGATTGGGGAAATCTAATATTTGAAGTTATTTCTTTCTCTCATATCAAGCCATCAATTTTCTTCTTTGATCGATGCGCTCAATTTACGTGTGTTCTGTTTATAATCTGAAACTCTGCTTTTTGAGGCCTGATTCACGGCCAGAAAAATGTATATTTTTAAGAACGATATTCTTAGAATGAAATACGTGCATTCTGGAACTGGACAATCGTGTCAAGGGAATCACCGAATATCCAGAATTCTTCTCAAACACAGATCGCTACTTATTCCTACCTGTCCTCACGTCAATTACTCATGCACTCCATTACTTATATGTAATATTTTGCTAGCGCAAATAGCAAGTAAAAGATCTACAATATCCATCGAAAATTGCAACAGTTAAAAAAATATATATATTCAATCTCTCAATCTCTCAATATTTCACTCGCTATATTATAACATATACTTTTATTTTTAAGATCCTAAAAAAACACATTATTGGAGCAATTAAAAAAATAAGTTAGAAATTGTGGGAAATGAGAGAGAAAAATAAACGCGATAGACTGGGAATATTGTAATAAAATTCTACAGAACAAAAACAGTATGTTTTATGAAGGAATAAAAATGGATAACGTTTTACCGAATGAATTAAAGCATTGTGAGAGACTTGAACCGTTTAAGAGAATGTTAAAAGAACATATAGTATTTAATGTTACTTAGATTTAAGATTATTTGTAAGAGATATATTTTTGAAATTATAGCTGAGAAAGCTAATAAAGAATCATTCACATTTATTCATCGATTCTCCATTATATTGAAAATATGCAGCGTTATAGAAGTTAAGAAAAGATAAATTCCTCTCTTAAGATCAATTTTCTGTCTCATTCACGTCATTCCTCAGTGACGAAACGAGAGTGGAAAACTCGCGAGGAGTGACGATTCCCCCCTGTTTGTTTAATCGCGATCGTAACGTAGGTGTACAACAATAAATTCACGTTACATCAGGTATTACATTGGCAATTTTCCAGGATTTTGTACAATGGTCTACGTTTAGATCCAGTGCCAAAGAATACTCGCACTATGTGCGCGGATCGTCAAATTACCTCGAGGTGAAGAAAGCGCGATTTGTGAAAATAAAACCGAATCGCAAAATATACTGGAACATTTGAATACCGAAATATACTGGAAAGATTCACGAAATCGATGTGAATCTTTCCATTATTCTCATTCATTGTCAAACGGTAAAATAACGTGTCGAGTTTTATCGATGTTGACCCCGTATAATCTTGAAGGTACACAGGATTGCAGAATCCGCGATGAAACATTCGGGCTGAGAATAACGCAAGCCAAATTCCGAGACGCAATAAACGTGAGATATGAGCGCGAACGATTGCAATTGTAACAAATCCGCAAAGTACGATTCACAGCGTTAAAATAAATCGCTCGTACATACGAAGCTATTAAATAATGTAACAATGTGTTTGTCACTCGCAAAAAAGATTTATTCGACCGACCGGTAGACGAGCGATAAATCGATCAAATATTTTTTTGCGACATTCCGAGAGTCCAGCATCATAAATCTTGCGGAACGGGGACAAAGACTTCGCGTCTGAGACAACAAACATTTCCACGACGAATGATTAGAGGAATGACGTATCTCTTCATGTCACTATGATTCTATTGTTTGCAGAAAGGGAGATGACATCGGAATTTAAAGGTATCTTCGAAATTTCAAGAGATAGTCAACGGTATCTTACATCTGAAGTTTAAGCTTTGCAAAATGCAAATTATCTTATCATATTCAATTGACATAATTAAAATCAAGAAAAAATATCATAGATATAATGAATTGTAAAAAAATGTTATATTGAATTTACTTAACAAAATAATACAACTAAAATCAATATAAATTCCATTTAAATTTTATCCTACTGATCGTCAAACAATTTATTATCTGATTATCTGCCTTGGACTCTTAATGATCTTAATAAATATCTCTTATTGCTTTATCATTACATAAATTAACGAAAATATGCACAATTATATTAAGGCGTGTTCCACTTGACGCTCGTAATGCTCTAAGAATCATTTCTTTTTTTTGTTCATAAAGTGTTAAACAAGGACAAATAATGCTCACGAGCGTTGTGAACTTTAAATGGAATGTATCTATATTAGCATGTTATCGGCCGCATATGTGTATACTTTCATAACAGTATTATTAATCTTTTGTACATCAGTCTATACAAAATGTTGCATAAAACGCGTCTTCCTCGTCGACTTATACAATAGACAGGTATTGATAAATATGTGGCAAACAGAATATGAAAATTTTAATAACAAAAAAATAAACAACTGCCACGCAGTTAATCCTCGCTGGGTCAGTGAACCTTCGGTTTCGCCGATTTCGCCTTCTTCAGCTTCTTCAATCCGCTTACATTCGTCTTCAAGAGATTCCAATACGCCTGTTGGAATTTGTTCACATCCTTGGAATGAATCTGAAAGATGAAAAACGTCTCAGAGAGTTGTAAGCAACGTTAGTACCATCCGTAGATGATACATACAATAGTGGTGATTTTTTTATTACGAAGCGATGCTCGAACTAAGCAAAGATATTCTGTAGGAGTTGGTAAAGGAGGTCTACCTTTCCTAGGCACCGGTTTATTGTGTCCATTAACTGAAACAAAAAGCTTCTTAACAAAAATACAAAAAAGAAAAAGAAATGAGTCATAAGAGTTTATATCATGAGTATTTCTATTTTTAAATTATAAAAAACAAATTTATATTTTTAAATTCTCCTTTTCTTACATAATTCACAAGGACTGCTAGTGCTAGTTTCCAAGTGGTTTAATTAATCCTCTGCAATCATATTTTTATACCCTCTGGATGAATTTAAAGGACATGTTTCATAAAGTATCATATGATGCTTCTGATGTATCACTTTATCCTTGTTATTTAAATATTAAACAAGGATAAAACAATACATTATGCACGTCATGTGCTTTACAGAACCAGGGAAAAGTCTCTGTAAGTCTGTAAATGCTTTGAAGTATTTGATTGATCAGAAGAAAGAATCGATCAATCAGAAGACATCTAGTAGAATATTTATTTTTATAACACTGTTGGCAGTTTTTCATTCCTTTAGATTTTGAAAGTAAAATCAAATCAGCGCAAAAAAACTTATAATAGTTGCAAAATAAACATTTCTGCTGAATATAATCAATGCTTTAAAACATTTGTATCATCACGTTGATACTACTCTTTTTTATCCAGCAAGTTTTTTTTATTATTCTGGATTAAAAAATATAGAAAAATTCAGGACTACTTTTCAACATCTCTATTACATTATCAAATAGTTTTTTAACTCAAATGTTAAACCTTTAAATTAAAATTTGGACAAAAATGAGAAAGAAATTCGAGAGTATAATTTCGTTTATATTAAAAAAACCCAGATTGTAGATGGAAGGTTAATAATCTTTAGAGAATTGTCGTTTTTGCTTTAGTAACAGTAAGTCTTTAGCAACATATATTTTGAATGAAAAAGACAACAAAAGATACTCACATCTTTTAATAGTGAGTGACACCGCGCCTGAAAGCCGCGACTTGTCAAAGAGTTTGGTTAACTCCGCTAAGAACTGCAACGAAAATTCGTCGATTAGTCATTCATGCGTGAGAGAACAATTTCCACGTTAAATTACCGCGTCATTCTCCAACAGGACCATTCTGATGATAGTAGCATATGTCAAACGCCAAAGCACGTCGAATGTAATCGCTTACTGAAACTGTTGAGAGGTTAGACGAGGTTAGGAAGTGCAGCCACAAATTCTTGCTTATGTGATAGAATCATAGACTATGCGAAACTAGAAGGTCACCCACATATGTAATATTTATAATCAATTTTTTACAATTACAAATTAATTGTATTTTAAAGAAATCGAAAAATTGCTAACTTTCAGAAATTTTTAGAAGTCACTGAATTTCTAAAATCCAGTTTCACTAATGTAAGATTAACTGACAATGAGATTAACTTTAACCTCGATTTAATATATACTGTTTATTTTATTTCTTAGAATACCGAATTTTTTTCTTGTTAGAATTAGAAAAAAAAGTAAATGAAACTAAGATTAAAGAAAAACAGAATTTTTATTTTAAAAGTTAACAAATACATGATTTTGGAGATTGAATTATTTAAAAGTTATTACGCTCCAAATATAAGATTTTGAAAATTATAAAACTTTAAAATCCTATTAGAGCTCATTTAATTAAAAAAAATAGATTCTATTTATATATATATATATAAAATTTTAAAAGTTGCTAAATTCTAAAATCCTATGGCTGTATTCAGCAGAACATTTATTTTGCAACTGGAAGTTGGAAGTTTTCTTCGCACTAATTGGATTATACTTTTGGATCTAAAAGAATAGTCCTATCTTAAGAGACAGTTGCAAAAACTGTTGTGCTCTGCTGAACGCAGCCTTTCTAATCGGATCGCGTTTATAATTTTCTATTTTGATTTTGTCGATAACTCTATGCTAAAATCTCCCCGGCAAAGTCGCCTTCCTTTCTGATCTATTCTTAGTATTTAATGGCCAATGTGGCTGCCACCTCATCGTGAATGTCGTGATGCTGTGGATGTTATGTGAGCGTAGAACTTTTTCTTGGTGACACGGAACAACATCTCTTTTCAAGGTGATTGTTGAGCCTAATGACTAAAATGGTTCAGGCTCACGTGAAGACTTTCCTGACGATTTTATTAGTCGTCCAGGTTCATGGCATCATGTTCTTCCTGGAGCCCAACAGTCACAAGTGTCTAAAAGAGGAGGTCCACGCAAATGTACTCGTCACGGGCGAGTACGAGGTATCCGAGGCGATGGGTCAGAAGGCGAATTATGTGGTAAGTAGATTAACAATTTTTCATTCATCCTTTGCCGAAATATTCCTACAAGAGCGTTAAATGTTACTTAATGTTTTGCAGTTTGATAACAGCTGTGCGATTTGATAACAGTTATGATAACAGAATTTACTGTTTGCTTTTCTCCTAAAATCGTATTGAATATTAGATAGATGTTCTTCTTATCTATTTTCATCAATGAAGATTAACTTTGATCTTGAATCAATTTATTTTTCATCTTTTTCTATCTCTAATTTTGGGTGTACAATGAATCGATAGTCGGTAGTCTTAGAAGTTGGCTTCTGGCCAACTCTTATATTAATTTACTGATTTTGACCAATTTCTGACTCGCCGATTATCCTTCAGATTTACTTTTGATTCATCAATTATCCTTCAGACTCGCTTCCGGCTCACCGACTATAGACTATCAATTCATTGTAGACCTGGCTTAAGAACTAGAAGAAGATAAAGAATCAATTGAAGTGAGGGTCAATCAACATTAGCTAAATTTCTTATTCTTCTCACAGTTCTTCTTTTTTCTTTTTCTCTCCAACGTGAAAGGAAAAAGAGGAGGGATGAACCTTGCAAGAAGTTCAGCTAAAAAGAACAGATCTATTAATAAATGTTATATCAATGACTTTGCTTCTTACAGATTCAGGACTCCAAAGGACATATATTGTCTCAAAAGGAGGATATTCCCCATGGGAAGCTGTTGAAGTTCTCTTTTGTAACAGAAACCTATGACACTTTTGAGATATGCTTCATTTCGCGCGTTCCAAATCGTGTGTATACTCCATTTTTAACTTTATAATTTTTGTTGTTTTCATGACATATAATTTAGTTAAATTATTACAAGAAAGACATATATATTTAAAGAATTACTTAAAGGAAGAATTATTATATAAAAATATAAGAAATTGTTTTAGCTAAATTTGATATGAAAATTATTTCAGATCAACGTGGTATCAGGCAAGAAGTTACGCTGATTACAAAACGCGGCATTGAAGCAAAGAGTTACGAAGGCGTAAGTTCGCATCATTACGTTATATTTATTCCTTTACAAAAAAAGAATTATTTAATTATCATATAATATATCATACCATAACGCGGAGATCGAGAGAAACCATCTGACATTACGTTGTTTACTTTCTTTTTATATGTGGCTTGTTTCCGCGGCGCAGTTGGTAAAGTAGAGTTTTTTCGATATTGTGTTCTCGTTGGCATGTGTTTTATCACGAATCACATACTTGTGCATTGGCAGCCTTAGAATTGAGCTATTAGAGCGCAACGCAGTTATATTAATTTGTGCATGCTTTTATTCGCGGATGTTCCGTTAACGGAGAGAACTGTTGAAATTTATTTCATTCATGTGAACGCAAATTAATTATATTTGTTTGTAAAATCGACTATATATTTTTTCCACTTGAATTTATATTGCGATAAAAATTATTTATTTGGACATTTTTTTCAATATAAAGCATTTTTGTATCGTTAGATTTCTTAAAAATATGTTAATGGTACATCCACATAACAGCAGCATAATAATTGACACATTTTAATACCGAATGTTTCAATTCTATATAGTTTCAGTTCTTCAGTAATATTCAATATAAAACATGGAATATTAATTAGTCATGTAATATTCTTAAATACTTTTTCCTGCTATAGCTGAGATTTCTTTATTTTTCTAAAAAGTTTTTGAGAAAATGTAAGTCGAAATATTCGGTATTACTTAAATATTTTTGAGCGAAAATTGTGTGATTTTTTTACTTATGTTTGAAATAAGATTTTTAAAAATAAAGGAATTTATATACAAAGTATTTAATATGATTAGTTGATTTTATCACTTAAAAATTAGAATTACTGCAATCAGATATTGTACATCACATTATCTAATATCTTTTTTCGCTCTGTGTAAAACACATACACGCAAAGAAATTATCCGTTATTTGGCTTTCATTCTATAGTAGTTGCGTTTTTTGTAATTCATTTGTATCGATTGTAATACGCAATACTAATGAATCGCTGAGGTTTTCGTCAAGAATGTTGTCGCTTTCCGGTAAAAGTTATTACCTTCTTCGTTGACAGATCGGTGAAGCAGCCAAGTTGAAACCAGTAGAAGTGGAATTGAAACGATTGGAAGACTTGTCCGAGGCGATAGTGCAAGACTTCGCCAGAATGCGTAAGAACGAAGAAGAAATGAGAGATACAAATGGTAAAAAAAATTACTTTTTGTTAGTAAATAGTGAAAGAAAATAACTTTGTTAAAAAAGAAAGTGATCATTTTGAATTATATGATCAAATTACAAATCTAAATTATAAATGCGATTAATAATGAAATGTCATAATTAAATGGATAATTAAGTAGTTGTAAACAGTTTAATACTCAATGATCCGATTACCTTTTTTTGTTTCAGAGGCCACAAACACTCGAGTATTATACTTCAGTTTATTTTCGATATTTATCCTCTTCGGTTTGTCCACTTGGCAACTCTTCTACTTCCGGCGCTTCTTTAGGATGAAGAAACTCATTGAATAAATACGTTTGTGACAAATAATATAAATGTAAAAAATATACTTATTTTTGTTTGAATTTTTTATCTTTGTTATTCGTAATTTCGTACTGGAATTTGAGTGGAACACTTTTTACATTCGTCACATTTGAAAAGTACTATTGAAATAAATATGCAAACACGCGTTCAATCATTATCTCATTCAAATCAATGTAATATATGATAAGATATGTACTTCATCTCGTACACATCGCGCATACATTATGTTATGGAGAACACAATATTTAAACAATTGTAAGAGATAGAAACTTTCTTAAATAAAAGTATACCTCATGGTGACATAATGAATCTTCAAAATCTCATTACCTAAAAAAAAGATATAAAATATTATATATGAAATCATTTTTGTCTTAAGATTAAAATATCTAGTATACATACTTTATAGATGTATTTATAAAGATTGATATTTCTCGTGATACAGCTTAATACAATATTAATGATTATAAAATATAATGCGTTATTGTTGTTTTAACATTTTATTTATAAAATAGAACAACTTTGTTGTGGGAACATACAATAAATGGCCTAAGAAAATATAATGAAGAAACATCACATTGGAAGACGATTATTTGTCTGATTTGAAGGCGGCAGCCTTCAGGATTGTGTCTTTGTGGTTTAAATAGTTATTTGTTTGTACGGTCTTAAAAAGCATATTTAACAGTGCATAATGTAAATACTTTACGCTTTCACTTTTAGAACCTGAAATCAAATTAATAGTACACGCGAGATGAACACAGAAATTTTAGAGCGTGAGTTTACGTTTTCTTAATGCTATGGTAACTCCATTTTTAAAACCTCTAATACAATATTTATGTATGAATATAATATCTATAAATGGACGCTATGGCTAACTGAAGTTTTTATAAATAACTGTACACATCCTAATAAAATGTTCATCTTTTGAAAAAATATACATATTATATATATTATTCGAAATAGGAAAATAATATAAATATGAATATGAATTAAATAACTTTTTATCACAAGGCGAACAATCAAGCAATTAAAAATAGAGTTTTACGTGAATGACAATGGTTCAAACACATAGGCACATTGTAGATATATAATATACAAGGAAACAGCAAGCTTGCGGTAATAAAATCACATGTCGCTATATTACGATCGCTTCTATAATTATTAATGCAATGATTATATTAAAGGCGCGTGTGTTTTTAACATTACGCACTGTAAGCTTAATTCTTCTTTTCGCATGTAATATAAGAATATCACTTGTAATGCGTGAGTAAAAACAAAAACGCACCTTAATCAAATATTAATCGATAATTATTAATAACGCAATAATAGAGATAGAATTTGTGTTCATCATTGAAACAGTTGTTTCTATTTATTACGTATTAATATAACATTCATTTATTACCGCAATATAAAGCTATAACTTGAACAATCACTGTCATTACACTTATCACTTTTAATTACTACATCTCTTGTCTATCGCGGTAGTATCTACCCGATAAACATTTTGTAAGAATTCATGACTACGTATTTACGTATATTAAATAGCCATTATCCAACAATGAATTTGCTTCAACATATTTTAATATATTCAGACTAAGAAATTTATGTACGTACATATATTTCTTAATTATCATTCGTTAAAGGCATATTATAAAATATAGGAATTTAATCTTTTAGTGCCACTCCCAGTGTAACACATCCAATGCTTTTTTTTTACTTTGCTGTGCTATACCTTTGTTATTAATAAAGATACATTCATTTGCTTGTCGATCCTTAATGTTCAGCATTTAAATTGAAAAAAATTTATTATATATTCATTTTTACACGATATTTTCCAATACACGGTATCAATACAATGCGTGACAAAACATATAGAGTAGCACCGAAGGTTTAAGAGAATGGAAAATGATAAAAGTTCGTAGATTATTGTCAATAGTTGTCACAGATAATAAACTTATTAGTTTCGTAATATTTTTATCTATTTTTGTAATTACACTGTTCATAAACAAAAAATTATTTTTTTCTCCGAAGTACACATTTCTCCATCATCGTTCAGTGCAAAAAATCTTTGGAAAATATATTATCGGAGAGAATATATATTAGCTGTTAAACAGTGTTATTATTTAGTGATAATTTATCCTCGATTCGCTGGTTTTCAAAGTTAATTCATTACTGCACAATATCGTTTAAATACTACCGCTTACCTGAGATTAAATTCAACTAACAATAGGATCGAGAATTTTCTGACGATTTTTACTTTTCTTCGTCGTTTGTACATATATTTGTTAAACCACTTTGTTTCTAAATCTAATAGCAATAACGACAAAAATATATCTCTACACATATTGTGTATATATATGTATATGTATATATATATAGCTTTCTTGTCATTTCTTAAAGCCAATTGTATCATCTTTTTACTACGAGTTTTTTCTAAAAATTCAGCCATAAAAATATTGGTCTATTTCTTTACATCTTTCTACAAACTCTCAACATTAGGCATTTTGGCACTTAAGCGCACTAAGTGTTAAACCTGTCTCTATTACAGTAAAAATTTGGAAGTTCTACGAGGTAAACGCCTATTATACTATCTGATTATTCCTTTAGAATCTCTATTAATTCATTTAATTTCGAAAAAGGTATACTTTTTTTGGATGAATACACACGTGGCTCAGAGAAATGGTACTTCTCTCTCTCTCTCTCTCTCTCTCTCTCTGGCACACAGTATATATTCAGGGATAAGTTAGGACCCAATTGAACTAGGATAATAGGTTTATGGGAAGTATTGTCGAGACAAAAACTACTCCTTCGAACCACAGAGGCTTCGAAGACTGTGGCTCATTACTGGCTAGGTGATTGTTCAAACTGTCAAGCCTTCGCTTTCTGACGTCTCAGATCGTTCGGTATCAAAATCGTAAGCAAAACGCCAACTGTAAGAATGCTGCACAGCGCGACGTTCGCCCAAAAATCCTCCCAAATATTAAGCATATAGCGATAAAGCGGAGTGAAGGCGATGCCGAACAGTTGCACAACCGCGTTCAGTAGACCTGTAGACGTTCCTTCGGGTTCCGGGAACGTGAGCTCTGCAGCGAGTTCGAAGCCGACCGGCAGATATCCGGTCATGAAAAAGCTATAAAAATATTTATAAAATATAATATAAATGATACATATAAATAATATAAAATTTCGAAATAGTCTGAAGCCAAAACCGCTCAATTATTTGACACAGAGAGATCAATTTCAGAGATTTTGTGAATTTTTAAAGAAGAAATGAAACAAATTTTTTACGAGATTTTCAATGAAATTCAGCCAAAGAACAAAGCGTTTAATAGAAAATCAAATTAGAATTTAACATGACATGCAAATCAATAAATTAAAATATTTTTATAAAATATTTCGCATTTTATAAATAATCATATGATGAAAATAGTCGCTGGACTTTACCCTAGAATGCCAGCCGTGATGTAGACAACGTATATCTTCACGTTCAGTGTGAAAGTAAAGATTATCATACCCACTAAAGAACAAACATACACTCCTACCGTCGTCAACCTGTAAATTAGTAGTGCCTATATTTTGCAATCGTACATATTTACTGTCATCAAATAAATTGAGATAAACTTGCTCTAATATAATTTGATAAGATATCTAGTAAACGAAATATTTTTCTCTTAGCTTTACGTAACATTTATAATAATTATTATAAATCAATTCGATTTGCTGATAGAAAAAGTTAATTGAATTACTTCTGCCAACATTGGAGTAAAATTCCATGATTCGAGTATTATTCCGTAAAATAATGTCCAATTGCTCACCAGAATTTATGTGTTTTGTCTAATAGAATACCGCAAACAATAGAACCAACCATTCCGGCGCAAACTATTGTTAAGCCGATTCGACCTGCGTCCTCTTCACTGTCCTGAAAAGGAGATAACCACTACCTATTAGTATTTCTCATTAAGCAGAGATATAATCAAGAAACTTATTTGAAAATAGCATTTCGTAATCTTGTTTAAAGCCCGTAATCTCCAAAGAAAAAATTCAAACTTTTGTAAGAAGACATATATATACATTGATAATTATGATAACATAAAATTCATAATTGCAGAAAAATGCGTCGAGATTCGAATCGAGAAAAGAGTAAAGTATTTATATAATAGTTATCGAATAAAATACTTACTGAATATTCTTTGGTGACGAGTCGATTTAGGAGGGTGCTTATAGCATAAAAGATACCAACGTTAATACCGTAACTGATTAAAAGCAATAGATAACCACGATTCGACCACAATCTTGTGAGAGAATTAAGAAATTTCTTTACGTCCTTGTTGCTTTCGGATTTTTCTCTTTGCACAACTTGAGCGGAGCTAGGTGGTAAGGGCGGTGCCGACTTGAAGACTATAAATTATGAATTTCTATTAAGAGTGGAAAAAATGGAAGAATATACACCGCTTGGCGACAAAATCCCGGGATTAAATAAATCTCGACTAGCAAAGTCAATTCCTGTTTGTATAAAATGTAATATAAATATATTTTCTTTGATACTACTAACAGTAATCAAACTATTATTATTATTATTATTATTACTAATAATAATATATAAAATAATGATAGTAAGTAGCATGATTATATAAAATACGTGAAGTAATCTTTTTTTATATAAAATTTCGCAAAGGTTATTTTTATTTAATAATTTTTATTCGATAATTTTTCTTTACTTTTAGTCTTCAATTTCACAATTTTTTTAATGAAAAATATTTGAAGTCAAATGTCAATTATCTTGATTTGTACATCATATATTATATTCTTTAAACTTCGGGATTTTATTGCCAAATTGCATAACCGATGGGTGAAAATTATATACACATACAAATTAATATGAGAATTAGCACGACTGACGTGATAGCTGCAACGATATAGAACATACGTTGAAGCCCCCTTTCAATTTCACAGGAGTCCTTGTTTGGCACTAACATCGGTGGAAATAAGAAACCGATAGCTATACCCAGCTGCAACAGAAATTCGAGTGACGAACGTCCTAAGAAATTGTCATTGAGCCCTAGGAAAAGGATAAAAAGAAATGTTTGCCGTGTAAATTCGTAGATCTTACTCCAATAACGCATTTACTTATGGGCTTTTAGAGCGACTAGAGAGATGTTGAATCACCAGGGGTGTCACAGTTTTAAAAAAATGAATAAGTTATACTGTTAAATTCAAATATATCAAATTATATCCAAATTTTAATTTTTGTAATTGTTTTTACAAGTCGCCATTGTTTCTACTCAATTTTTCGTTAATTAAAACAATGTTACACAACTAAAATAAAACAGTTAAATAATTTAACTAAAAAAATATAAATTTGACTCACAAATTTAGTTTATTATTTATCATTGACATATTTATCATTGAGGTATTATTAACAGTGTCGTCGGTATTTGTAAATTTAGTCAAATGTATAAAAAGAGTTGTATTCATTGAGAGAAGGTGGGGCGTTACATAGGAGCACTCGAAGATCACAAGCTCCTGAGCATAAATTTTATAAACGCAGTCCTGTCTTATTTACGCAATTACGGTATACATGACAATATCTGCCTTGAAAACAGAACTTGTATGCTTGTCGAAGAAGTTAAATAAATCGCGTTCGTATGTATCTTTACAAATCGTTACCGAAGTGAAATATTTTCCTTGCCAGCTGTTAAAACATGCAATTTCCGTATATGAGTCAACGCACTTCAAAAGGCCAATATTATTTATTTATAAAAGAAAACGCACGTTTGCTATATTCATCTTTCCAATAATTGCAAAACACATCTTAAAAGTATATTAAAAGTTAATCTTCCGGAATTTACAGTGGGTCTATTAGACCTACAATTATATATTCTTTATGTTCCATGCTCTGCAAATCTGAAATAGTTGTTAAAGTAAACTTAGGCTTCAATTTGGACGCTATAAACTTTATTCCATATTCCTTTTGCATGTAATAAGCAATAAAAACAGAATGAAGCTTATAGCGCGTGAGTGTTCATACCGAACACAGCCTTAGTGTTTGTATACTTATAGAAAAGATTTCCGGATCCAATGCTATTATTCTTCGATCTATCATAAAATAGGATCGATGTAGAGATAACCATATTTATTGTGTTAACAGAGGAATATTTTATTCTCTTAAATAAAAAATTCTTAAAATAAATAATCTTGAATATCCAGTTTTGTGCCAAATCCTATACAGCACCAATAGTATTAAGTATGTTATAGCATCGAATAAAGGTTTATTCTAAACATAAGAATATATAGACTTAAATTTAGATGTGTTATTTTTGTTTCAAGATAATAGGTCAATCTTATTTAATTCGAGAAAAGGGAATAGGAATTGTATCGATCTAGTCTTAATATCGTTTTATTTTAATACTGCATAAAGTTGCAACAAGATTAAGTACGTCAAGAATATTTTGTATCTCAGAAGAGAGGATATATTCTTTTTTATACAACTATCCATTTTGATTACTTGAAATTGATTAATTAGTGTTTTTTAGTCAATATAAATAAATCAAATAAGATAAAAAATCCTATTTTCGGTCGAAGTAACTTTGGTGATTAACAATACTCACACATACATACATAAGCAAATTTGTAAATATATTTTTTAGTACTATAAATTGCGCGCTGATTTTGTTGGACTTGAAACGCAATCATAACATGAAGCTGGAAATAACATCATAAATTACATTGATCGTCAATTGTAATAATGATGTTTATACAAGGCAATGTAATTTGTGATGTTATTTCCAGGTTCAATTTGCGATTACGTTTCAAATTTGACAAACCGAATCGGCGCATAATGTGTAGAACTAAAATATGTATTTGTCAATTTGCTTAATAATAAATATTATTAAGCACCAAGATCCGTTTCGACTAAAAATAAGATTCTTTTCTTTTATTGATTTATTCTTATTGGTTTATTGATTTATTTTTATCGATTTATTCTTATCGTCTAATTTCCACTTATAATAAAATAAATAAGTTTCACAGATCTAGCATCAATAATTGTATTACAAATTTTGAAGTCTATAGCTCCGGAAGGTTAAAGGTAAAAGAGACAGAAGAGACCAGGTCAGGCCATCTTTTCTCTTTTCTGAAAATTCTGGATTCTGGAGTCAGCCAGGAGTTTTCTCAATTACAGACCTGCGATTATAACACGCAGTTGCGGTTGTAAAATGCATCAGATTGAGCTTCCGTTTCATCATATTACGGAATCAGTACAATTAAAGCGCGATAGATTTTCCGATAAAGTGCGACCACGATGGCTGATAAAATGATAGCGGTCTACAGTACCTTGGAGTAATTGAATCCCTCGCGACATAGAGTGAGCCCCTCCCCCCTGACACCCCTTCCTGCCATCAGTCCGCTCCTCTCTATGCACGACATAGTCGTTCGTCTGTCGAGGTAGCGAAATTAAACGTGGGTGCCCACTTTGACTCGGTTTCCCACCTAATCACGTCGCAATTTAAATCTCTCGAGGCACCCTCCTCGTCGATCAGTGAGTACTCCAGACTGTCACTTCCGTTGTTCCGTATGCGAGATCTATTCTCATTGTCCGCACGCACATGACACGTGTCCGCGGTGACAATGTCGAGTGCTTCCTCTTACATTTTTTAAATAACAAGTACCATCACACATCGACGTTTGACGTCACGAAAAATTGGGCTTTACATAATAATAGTGGGTATTCAACTCAAGAAACAAGTTTGTATAAATAAGATCTTCTTTCTGAGGATCAAAAAATTTTCAAGACAATGACATATTTCCATTGGAATTATACAGAATTAGATTAAGGGGATGGAATCTTCTGCTTTACTGATAAAAATACTATTTTATTACGAGATATACTTTGTAGAGATATACTGATTTCACAGAATTAAAATTTCTTTTCCTTGAAATACACATGATGTACATTTGATTCTGGTCTATTTTGTGCGAAAACAGGAAAAATAAAGAAATTGCAATTAAACGGTTTTAATAATATAATAATACTTAATAATTTTCAAATTTTTATCACATACATAGTAGTGATCTATCTAGCTAGATTATCGTGAGACCGTGTGCTTTACTGAGTCTCGTGAACTCACTTTAAAAGTGAGATTATGAATCTGTATTGTCATGTAATAACCTTTTACCAAAGTAAGCAAGTAACGACATCATTAATCTGAGTATGAAGTACTCAACTCACTTCAAACTCAGTTTCACTTTTGTGTAAATGGAAAGCAACTATTGTTTGACTCTCTCGCGACACATGATCGGGACGAATAACAAATGAGTACAGCTCAACGTTAGCATAGCTGAGTTATCACCCCAGAGATCTTAGGTTCGAATTCCGGTGACATCCGGCCAGCATATGCGTTTTCGGGAATATTATATTATCCAATGCGTTATTATAATTATATTAAGAAAAAATATATGTAACTTTACAGCAACTTTACGCTTATATTAAAATTATCCAATGGCGTAATAGATGAATCGATTGTGATTCAAAATATTGCAGCCGTATTTAGTAAATCAGAAAGACGAAATATCATGATACAAATACGATGTAAGTATGAAAAACACAGAATCAAATTTTTGTTTCTTATATTTACATCATATTTGCGTCATGGTATTTCGTTTTCTGATTACTAAGTACGACTGTACTATTTCAAATCACCATCGGCTCATCTATCACGCTTTTGACAATTTACTGAATACAACGTAAAATTGCTGTAAAGTTTATGTACATATTTGGATGTGTACATGTGGGCGTACAATTGATGTAGCATAATGTGTCGATGTCTCATAAATCATATGTTTGTATTATAAATAGTACGTGTGTAAGTCGCATTTACTTAATCAATAAAATAGAAATCCCGTCGAAGTTTAGTCACCACGCCAGCATTATAAGTTTAGTTATAATAACATCAATTAAATAAACATTTCGATGGAAAAATAAGTTTTTCCATCGAGAATAAATTTTTAACACTATGACCTTTCCATCAAAATTATATAAAATTAAACCATCAGATTGAATTATGCGTTCAATGGAAATGGAAATTGTTGCACGCAGATATGTAATAAATTTGGATATTATAACAAGAGATAGGATTATTATATTATAATCTTATTTTATATAATTATGAATTATTAGTATTTCATATTCGCGCAATCGAGGAAAGAGATACAAAATAATTAATATCGTGGGTGTCAAAAAAGTCAAATTTGTTTGACTTGTTATCGGATTACGATATTACGTTATCTTGCGCTTTGATTCGAATAATTAGAGCAATTTTATTACGTGGATTAAATAATTCACGTGCGTCATGAAGTTTAGCACGTTGCGGACGGTTGATGTGTTACTCCTTGTTTCTTTCACATATCCTCATGAAAATATTTGCACGAAGATAACAGACAGTAAATTCAAAACATACACTGAGAGAAAAAATGATGGCAATTATTACAATTTATAGTCCTTTTCGGTGCCAACTATATATATTTTTTGGTAGAACTATTCAATTAAAATTATTCAATTAAAATAAATAATCCTATTTTTTAGACAATTATTATTATTTTCAAACAAAGCGGATCTTAATGCTTAATAATATTCCTATGCAAATTTTTATAAATACAGTTTTCAGTTTTCATAAATTGCACACCGGTTAGATTTATTGAATTTGAAAATTCGAAAATAGGATCATTTTTCTTAATTGATTTATTTTCATCGGTCTAATTCCTATTATAACATATTATTATTAGTTATTACCGATATTATAACAGAACCTATGATAGATTCTGATCACAAACGATTTTATCAAAACCTTACGAGAGAGAAATTATACTTCTTCTCTAACTATATACATACTATCTCACTTTAACTTAACTATCTCAATTTATAACTTTAATTAAGATTACAGAATGAGATAATATAAGTTAAAGTGAGATGCATAGTATACATAAAGAAAAAAGTACATGTATCTTTCTGTCTCATAGGATTTTGATAAAATCGTTCATACCTGAACTTTATTATTAGGGTCTTTATATTATAGCAGTAATAATTATAAAATTGGAGTTTCTAACTATAATTATTTTACCATGCAATTATATAGTCACAAGTATCAAATATTTTTCTCTCAGTGTATACCGATGCAAAATTAAATTCTTACACTACCCAAAAAATAGAAAATATAATTAATAATCAACATATAATATATAATTGTCATGTTTCACGTTACTTACATTTCTTTTTTGTTTCTTATATTTTCTTCTTTAAGAAAGAGAAAGAGAGAGAGAGAAAAAAGACAGATCCTTAAGTTTCTAAAAAAAAAATTTTTTAATAAAACAATTCGTTTGAACTTTTAATTACGATTTGATTTATTCGAAATGTCTGATAGATCTGACAAAAGAACTCAATTTGAAAGGGAAACATGAGATCGAAATTCTCAAGCTTTCTCTTAAAATATGAATATAAGTTCCTAAATACACCGTAATAGGATTTATGATACATAAAGATATTTAATTACCTGGTTGCCGAAGACACCAATGCCACAAGCTCGAC